ATAGCTCCTCTTTCCCCTCTTTTGCTGCTGCTTTTCTTTCATCGCAGGATCCTCTGATGTCTGAAGTGGAGTCACCAATCTGCCCTGTCTGCCTCTGTTTCTGTCATTAGCTCCTGCAGATGGGCATAGGTGAGAAAACAGCCATCTGTCCTGCTGCCCGCTTTTTTCCTGAGGGCTTGCTGATATAGACCATGTGTCTGTAAAAACCACTGACCTAAACATAGCTCTCCTGTGGAGATCTGAGTCCACTTCAGGCTGAAGTGTTTTCAACACTGTGTTGGACTGGATATCCTCTGAGAGTACATCATTGCACCCCAGTGGACATATACTTGTATGAGCATGGTTACCTGTCTGTATATCCGTAAAGTTGTGTGTCTCTGAAGCTTCAGTGTGGTGTGTGTTTGCAGGCAGCACCGCTCTGGACCTGCAGAATAGAGAACGCAGTCGTCGGTATGGGGGCAGGCTGGCAGAGAGCCCAGGAGGTCCGATTCTGCGAAACAGTGGAGGAGGATGAAGACTGGAAGAGGGTCTCGAAATTCGAGCTTTGCCGTCAATGCTTTTATCCATCCTGTTCAACACATTCACAACAGTTCAAAGTGAGGGTGATCTTGCACTTAATTTATAAAATCAATCTTCTTTCAGCTTCACTTCTCTAAGAACTGAGGAAAAAATGTTTCCAAATGGAGGTAGTTTAGCAAAAATAAAGCAGTTGTTGTACAGGAGGTAGAAGAAGGTAAGTATGTATGTATCAGCCATTAAACACAATGGGAGTCTGACTCTTCATCCTTACAAGAGGATGCTTGTAGTTGTTATGACAAATGACCATGCCTCTTAGTAGAAATGACGCAAAGAACCAAGGCTTTTCCTCCGTACTCCTGCGTTCATCATCTGAGCCTGGACATTGCTTACCACAATGACTTTACGCTTTAGCAATCCTTTCTCAGGTAATATTGGCCCCGTCCGATGGTTCATCTGTGGTCCTCTCTGTCCAGTGTGTTGTCCAGTCTTTTTGAGTCTGACTTTTTCCTCTGAGCCTTGGATGACATACACTCTATGGATGACACCCATCTCCATTCCAAACAACCCACTCACCTTCTCTCTCTTTCATCCCCTTGCCCTTATGGACATGAAAGGAGCAGTCCATCGACTGTTCCATCTCAATAAATTATGAATTCATCGTGAGCAGAAACCAGAGATGAGAAGGTTGATACCACTCGCATGTGTATGCACGGTGTATGGAGCTAGAGCCAGGAGGCGACTAGCTTAGCTTAGCATAAAGCTTAACTTTTGTCAAGAAATAGTTAGATCATTCTATAAAATAACAAGATGTTTTTACATTTTTGTCTGTGAACAGATTATGCAAACAAGATATAAAATGTTAGAGTTCTTGGCGTTATCTAAGCCATGGACAGCAGCCAGTTGGCTTTGGGTTTAGCTTAGCTTAGCGTAAAGACTGAAAACAAGGGGAAACAGCTAGCCTGCCTCAGTCTGAAGGTAACAAAATTTGCCAGCACTTCTACAGCTCACATGTTAAATCTTGTGTGCAGATCACAGAATAAAAACAAAATGTTGTGGGTTTTCAGGGATTGTGCAATTTCTTGATCCATATCTCATTTGAGTGGATTACAGAAACAAACTAGAACATGTTTATTTGTAAGCTTTTGAGGCGCTTGTTGGCAGATTTAGTCTACTTTTTACACTTAGGTATTTCAGTCCAGAGGTTTCCAACGAAGGGTTCACGCCCCTCCAAACAGGACAAATCTGGGAGGTCTTGAGAAAATAAGAAAAGTTCTGTGAAACAAATCTGTGTTAATTCTTTGAATATGAATGAATCTCTAATCTCTGCTTTTAGTGAAATATTGAAGAGTTTTACCCCTTGAACAGTTAATTAAATGAAACCATCTGAGAAGTTTAAAGGGGAAATCTCTTTGGTGAAACCACAAACAACTCATCTGACATCTGAAACCAGTGGCGTCATTAGCCCTGGGCATCCGGGGCTACAGCCCCGGTGATATGGTGTCGGGACAGAGTGGACCCAAACGCAACACTCAGGCAGAACAGGCTTTATTGAAGGGGGAAAAAGGGATTGAGGGAGAGGCGGACGCCGGGGAAACACGGGCAAGGGGAACCATGGAGACTGCGACAAGGGAGCTTGTCACAGTCACAGAGCTGGGCAGATATAAACATTTAGAAAATCAGGCAAATATCTTCTCAGTTTAAGGCTTTATGTTTTACTAATACAACTGAAATCTGGTGAGCGCACACCATGGCACTGTTGACCCTGTTGGAAAGCAGCCTGCGTCGCTCTTTAACAAGCCGTTGTAACAAAATCTGTGACCCATCAGATTCTGTGACTACACCCAAACGACGATGTTTTCCTAACCATAACCAAGTACTTTGTGTACCTAAACCCAACCAAGTACGTGAAATACTTTCACTTTCCATTAACGGCGCATTAAAAGCGTTTAGTCTCTGCAGAGCAAATAAAGACTACACACTGTAAGATCTATGTCAGACGATCACTGCATTGATTGAGATATATTAAAAGTGTCCTGTTGTTGAACAGAGCATCGCTTTGGACATAAGCCTGTTTCTTTTCTTTAACACACATTGGTTACTATTTGTTTTATAGCGATGTCAGACGGTGAGTCCATAAACAGAAGATCACCAGTGAAACTAATCTTTCAGTCAGCAGCTACCAGCTGTTATTTATTTTTGAGATGCACAGGGAGAGAGAGAGAGAGAGAGAGAGAGAGAGAGAGAGAGAGAGAGAGAGAGAATATGGTGGATAAAACAGTCCTGTTGGGTTTTACGCATGAGCTGCTCTCGTGTTACTGCCACAATAATTCTTCGCATTGTGAAGATTATTTAGATATTTCAGGAATAATCAGATTGTATTGGCAGCCTGTGCCTCTGCAAAGCAAGCGGTTTGGTTGGCTACATCTCCATAATAAAAGGCACAGGCAACTAAAGTTGGCTGGGCAGCAAAAGTGATATTTTAAAGCAATCTTATACACACCTTCATGGAGATTTAAAAAGGAAAATAACTGTAGAAATAGCTAAATTACAGATAATCAGCTTCTTCACTGCATTTGCAGGAATATTTTAATGGGCTACTTAAAAAAAATAAACTCATACAGTTGCCTAGCCAATGCAATAGACTGTCCGTTTTTACTCTGATAGCCTATCTTGACCTTTCCTCATGTGGACACATAGGGGCTGACAAATGTACTTGCCCGTCAGATCCACAGATCCTGGAATGCTGAGTTCACTTAACAACTGCCTTTGTGAAGTTAAAAAATGGATGTCAAATAATTTCCTCCAGCTGAACTCAAACAAAAAAGAAAAAGAACAAAAAGAAATCCTGGTCATTGGGTCCCAGCATATGGCAAAACAAATACTGCCATCTGCTGGTTCCCTAGAAAATAACATTAAGCCTGTTGCAAAGAACCTTGGTGTCTGGTTTGATATTAATTTAAATTTCGAGCAGCACACCACAAAGCTTGTTCAATCGTGTTTTTTCGACACCAAGACCATTTTACATGCCTTCATCTCATCACGCCTGGATTATTGCGGAGCCTAACAGCCTAACAGCCTTTTCACTTGTTTAACCCAAAAATCTACTGATCGACTCCAGACTGTCCAGAACTCAGCTGCCAGGCTTTTAACCAGAACAAAGAAATATGACTACATCACCCCTATTTTAGCTTTATTACACTGGCTCCCAGTATGTTTTAGAATTGACTCATGGCCTCTCGCCTTGTTATATTTCTGACCTTTTAGTCCCATACGCACCAGCACGTACCTTGAGATCCTTGGGCAGAGGTCTGTTGTCTGTTCCAGAGTCTCGACTGAAAACTAAAGGGGACAGAGCGTTTACTGTCAGGGCCCCGAGGCTCTGGAACAGCCTGTCCGAGGAAATCAGGTCGGCTGAGTCAGTGAACTCTTTTAAGTCCCTTCTTAAAACATACTTTTATAGGAGAGCCTTTCCCGATCTTATTTGACTTTATTTTATCTCTTTTATTCTATTTTACTTGTTTTATATTTATTTTTAAAATGTATTTTAGTCTTTTCAGTGTTTTCTTGCTTTTAACTTGTATTGTTTTTGTATTATTGTCTTTTGGGTATTATTGTCTATACAGTTGTTAAAGCACTTTGTAACTTGTTTTTGAAAAGTCCTCTACAAATAAAGATTATTATTATTATTATTTCAACTGGGATCCCAAACTGAGCAGACCTAATGACAAACCACAGGCAAACATCTCTCTCAGTACAAAAGAGAACCTATATTGTCTCATGGAAGACAGTCTCAGCTGCCACTCACTTGCCTGACCTGTGTGTGGCTTTCAAGGATGGTCAGGCTCATATTAGTTTAGGTAACCGGTAGTCAAAAATACTCATAGTGTAAGTTCTTTTTAAATTTGTCCCAAATCCAAGATTATTGCTAACTTCACATCTTGTTCCCTTGTTCTACATGTATCAGTACTGCACTGGTACACTGATGGTAGTCTGTAATAATTACCCTGTAAACTCTGAAGAATTGCTCTTTACATTACCCTATATTGTATTTTATAATTGTATTATATATTTTTTTCATTATAAAATGTGTTAAGTGACTCACAACTGTATCTGTCGGATATGCCAAAATGTAGGTGAGTAAAATGTACAATATTTCACCCTGAATTGTAGTGGAGTAGAAGTAAATAGTAAATGGAAATTCTCAATGAAAGTGCCACAAACATGTTGGCTCCTTATACCGTAACTGAGTAAATGTACTTAGTCACTTTTCACTACTGACAATAGGGACTACAGAAATAACACACTTTTTTTCAAGGATAAATTCCCCCTTTTGCATTGCTTTTAGGAAACGGGCCGTGCTGTGCTTCCCAACCTGTCCATGCGATGGCGCTACTCACAGTACTGCGGCCATGAGAGGCGATTTATCTGCGGCACCAAAGCGGAAGCACTTCATTGGTCCACAAGGCCAAGATCAGCCCTTGAAAAGCAGCAAGGTAAATACGGGCAACGCTTTAAATTCATCTATGCAGCGTGAGATATCTGGGAATGTGCTGCCCAAACTGTTCGGTTTCAGTGTCTGTGTGTTTCACAACGAGAGGAGGCGATGGCGGGTGAGGTTAGGAGGAGGAGGAGGAGGAGGAGGACGAAGAGGGCAAAGTCATATGTAACGTAGGTTAATGGAGGAAACGAGGCGCCGGTAGCTCCGCAGCGAAGCCGTGAAAACACCACCCACAAAGTTGGTGGGAGGAGGATTGACCTAGTTATTATTAAGGAAACATTTATAAAGAAAACTTTGGTTGTGTTAACATCGTTTGTGTCTTCGTCTTCGTTGTGTTTTAACAGCAGAGCAACATGGCTGCGTTAAGAGAGGATCTGTTAATGATGTTAACCTAATTTGACCGACAAGACAGGTTTACCTGCACGACCCCTCAGACAATTCACACCAAATAGAAATACCCTTAAAAAAACATGTATTTATTGCATTTTATACCCTTTTCTTTTCCTAACCCTCGTCTGTGTTCTTGATGTGTTTTATAAATGTATATCATACTTAGCATTGAACTTGTGTTTTGACACGTCCTATTGTAAATGTGTAATGGTCCAACAGGTTAGGGTTACTTGTGGGGTGGGATTTTGTTGAGATATATCAAACTGTATTTCTTCGTGTGGTTTGTATAAGCACATAGAAAGCAGGTTTATCAGCCTAACTAATAATTTACTTTGCTTGTTTTTTTGTTTTGTTTTTCTGTCTGCCAGCTCGTGGACTTGAGCTGCTGAAAGTAATAGTGACAGTATTTGCAGCCCTAAGCCCTTTCATTTAATTTTAATTATCAATTAATCCTGGAGGTTATTATATTAATCCCTTTGGCTTTAAAAGGGTATAAAAGAAGAGACAATTCCCAAGTTGTCTTATTCAGATATCTTGTTTTGTTTTGTCAGTCCTTAATTTATCATAGGAAGCGATAATATCCTATCAAACCAGCAAATATTCACATCTGACAAGCTGGAACCAGGCAATTTGTGGTATGTTTGCTTAAAGGAACAAATGATTTATTGATTTGATAAAGTTGTTGCAGATGAATGTTCGGTTGAAGGACTATCGATTTAAAATCTAATCTTGTAATGCTGCATGGTATATATGTACGGTTTAAATGGATTCAAGCTTCAAGTCAGATAAGAACTGTAGCGGTGTTTTGAAGGATATCCCAGTGCTTTCTGAGCTTACCATGACATTATATTTGTGGTGCAATCTAGCTAACCCTTAATTTTGCTTCTGCTAAATGCATGTAAATCATACAGGAAAACACACAAGCCCTGGTACGCCCTGGGAATGACTGTAAACACACTGGCCTTATATAAGTGTGATGTGGGACAGTAAAAGCATTGTGCAGTCCCTTAACCACTGTCAAGCTAGCGTAATACCACAGTGGACTATTAATCAACATTCTTCTGTTCTGTTATCTGATGTCGTTCACACAGATGGCTCACAGGCTGCTAGTACGTAGAATTTGGACGTTCTCTGCGAAAGACATCCGCTGCCTCCCATCATCCCCTGCCATCGCCGCCACCTCTTCTTTCTCCACCTCCCTACAGTCCGCCACGACCCGGGTCTCCTTCCTCTCTCCGTCACGCACCCTACCTCGCTGCCTTCCTCACGCCTCCCGCCGGGAAGTCTCTTTCAATGTTCAGGACCACGATGACTTCACAGACCGGGTCATCAAAAGCGAACTGCCCGTGCTGGTTGACTTCCACGCACAGTGAGTACCTCAGGGAGAGACGGTGGCAGATAACAGACACAACTGAATGAGGGTATAGATACATTGAAAGTGATCAAATGTTATGTGTTTTAGATCATTCTCATGTTTCTAATGGATAAATTAAGAAAAACAAGCAACTGTTTGGATTTGAGAGCAAAGAACAATATAGGATTTCTCTTTTTTACTTGATATTAATCAGATCTACAAATGTCCTGTTGCTTGAATAACTGGGTAAGTGACTGACTAATGGCAGCGTTACAATCCTGTAGAAGCCAACTAATGAAGCAAATCACAGCAATATTAAAAACCTGGTCTTTAAATTTTAAAGACGATGGATTTTGCCTTAACATGCAACTAAATGATAAATTTAAAATCATTCTTTCAGCTAGTTCTTTTTCTAATCCTAGAAAAGATTTCATGCTGGTCATTATCCAGCCTGTGCTTTTACAGAAGGTGAATGTGCAGTTATTACCCACCTGGTATGCTAAAATAAAATGGCATTACTCTGTATTAACACTGATGTGTGACTGTTGTTTGGGGATTCAGGCACTGACCTTAGAAAATACCGTGTTTGTGTGTGTGTGTGTGTGTGTGTGTGTGTGTGTGTGTAAAATAAATACACATGTACTCACATGACTGTGGGCATTGCACTTTGAAGTCATGTGAAGTTACACAACGGCCACTGTATAGAGAGGTCTTTACCTCCATAACTTCCATATTGTCTGACACTAATTCTTCTGTTTTACAGGGCCTGTTGTCATCAAAATCTTCTACCTGAAGTTCATTATTCAGTATTTCAAAATTGAAATTACCCCCCGCCCTCTTCTGAAAAGTAGTTAATGGCTTAATATGGCATAAAGACGTCTCTATCACTTTAACTTGTTATACTTTTGTTTTGTATAGGCTTTTTTCACCTGTCGCAGCAGGATAGAGGATTTGTATTTACTAGGGCTGTAACGGTTCTGTTGCAATAAATATCCACCGATCTTGTAACTTAGCCTAATACTTTTACCTGTTAATACACCTGGGCAGCCCTTCCAAGTAAAGTCTACAGTGTATGTAACACTGTATTTAAAGTTGGGGCAAGCTGTAGGCCTGTATTTTGTAAGAATTACACCGTACACCTATTTTATTGTCTTCCAGCTGCGTGTGACTGTGCCAGCTTCTGCTCTAATGCTGATCATAGCACTAGCACACCATCAGGACTTCACGCAACAAGACTCATACAAATAATTAAAATGAATCCATTACTGAAAGAACAGAATGGACTCAAACGAGAAGTAAAGTGCTCTAAATAAAATCTATTTTTAGTTTATAAAAGGCTGCAGGTACAGTAAGTCTGTCGTTTTCAGGCCCAGGATGATAGTTTAGGAAAAATGATAACTACTTAGCAACAACATTTTGGACCTCCATTGTTTTCTTCAAAATAAAGGGGGGAAAAGCTTTTTGTTTATATGAATCATTCATCTTGTGACCATTCGGATTATACACACGTTTCTTTATTTTATGAATGAACATGAGTTGGCGCGAGTTGTTACTCCCGTTCCCACAAATAGTTTGCCAAATCTACAGTATACTGTAGACGAATGCGCTCCACTGATACACATTTAAGGCAAACGTCAATTCACGGGTTTCCAGGTCTCAGGATGGAGAAGCGATGGTGGGAGGAAGCATAATTAGCTGAATGGAAAACATAACTTACGTAACACTTGGGTTTTCCTGTTTTGACAAGTCAATATGGCTTTGCAAAAGGCCAATTTGTTTTACCGTTGAAGGTGTTCTACCTGTCAGTAGTCATCTTTTAAATTATTATTATAATACTAATTATACTACTAAAATATAGTAATTGTGACATGCATTTGAAATGATTTGCTCAATATTTAAAAATCTTCAGTAGTTTATTTAATCGTCTTACTGGTGGTACTCAGTACTTGTGTCTTACTGTGAATAAACACTTGGACATTGGTTCTACTTGTGTGTTTTTAGGTGGTGTGGTCCCTGCAAGATCCTTGGGCCAAGGTTGGAGAAGGCTGTTGCAAAACAGAAAGGCCGTGTTGCCATGGCAAAAGTTGACATAGACGATCACACAGACCTGGCAATCGAATACGGGGTGAGACTTGCAGTATTTTTGTGGTGTTACTGACATTCGTTAAATTTACCATCTGAACTTGTATTGTGACGAATACCCATTGTTATAACCTTTTGAATGAAATTTTTATAAAACTTTGCTAAAGGGACATAATTTGAGGTCAAAGTACTTGATGTATTGCATGTTGTTAAGTGTAAAATATTGTTCTTGTCTTATAACCATAACTCTGTGTGTCTTCAGGTGTCTGCAGTTCCGACAGTAATCGCCATCCGGGGAGGTGACGTTGTTGACCACTTTGTGGGGATCAAAGATGATGATGCGCTGGACTCCTTTGTCAGCAAGATCATTGGACAATAAACCAGCTTGCCCTGTCCTGCCATTCACTACCATTATGGCGCTGTTTTGTATGATTCTGGTAGCTGCCATGTTGAGCCTGTTGAGCAACAAAACCATGCCACAATGCCAGCTGGCAAACTCTCAAATGCTCACACCCATCCCGAGACACTCTGCTTCAGCTTTGCATTATTGCTTCTGTCTTTGTCTCCCTCTGTTTCTTTTGTCTAGTGATGGGTGTGTGCCTCGACCAACCTTGTAGTTCTTACCGTGCTTCATTTTGCAGCGGTTCAGTCTCTTTCATAATGTGAAGGCTCCACGGCTCTATTCTTACTACTAGAGCAGCTGAGCTGTTGTGTTTGCTGTAAAAGTTTGTAGAAGTTAAAATATACAGCTGTACTGCACTTATACTGTATAATGAGGGATGAACATTTCTAGTTTTAGTGGTGGAGAGTATTTAACTTAAAACCTGACAATACTGAATGAGGTTTGTCCCAGTGTTGCGTGTAGTTCCTGCTTTTGTCCACACGAGGGTGGCATTTCTCTAACGTCACAAAGCCTCACATGGTCATTTTACACCATAATGCCTAATAATAGGGGAAAAGTGTGTTTGTGTTAGAGTGTGTGTGTGTGTGTGTGTGTGGGTCCTGACTGAAACTTAGTCAAGTGGGAATTAAATATATGAGAGCAAATATGAGTTTGATTTAGTTTATTACTGAAATGAACTCGATGTACGGGAAACATGACCAAGTGAAGTAATAAAGGAGTCAAAAGATGTTCTGTATTTGAATTGTGTTTTTGTCTGTGGTTGGTTGGTTGGGGGGGGGTGGCATGGGGTATAGCTTTAATGGCCCCTGATACAATATTTAAGTTATGCACTTTCCTTGTGTTGGTTGTTTTGACAGCACTGGAAGGAAGGATTCAGAAATGGGTTATTGGTGTGATGTTGGGCTGTGAGGCTGTGGCAGTTTAAAGAGGGGAAATAGAGTTTTGAAGTCTACTAAGTTCTTCTCACCAGGGAAAAGTGATGGGAGCTTTTCACAGAGTGTTAGGTTGATCATGAAGTAGCTCTGTTATTCCCCATTATGTGTAGTGTTGTATGCCCCCCATCTCTCTGCCTGAACATGTAGGTGTTACTCATGCTGTCACAACGCTGCCATCAGTGTAACTAAAACTCCTACTCCATTTATTGCTTTCCTTTAAATTACCTCCCTTCTGTCATCAGCGTCCGTCTTCGTTCTCTCTAATGTTTGGTTTCACACCTGACCAGAAATCCTCCACCAAACCGCCTTTCTCTCCTCCATCAGAGTCGATGACAACATACGCTGTGGTCAGATGGACTCTGACCCTCCAGCACACAGTCGCTGCCCCATTCGCTTGCTTGTTTGGAAGTTGCTATGGTTGTCGTTGTTCCCAATTGTCAAGTCAGTCAGTTGTACTTATATAACCAGCATAATAAAATTACAATACGGACAATCAGGATGACAAAGTTATGAATAGATTGTAATATATATGGATCTGGGAGGTCGACGAGCAGCTTGTGTGTGGGGGGGGAGTATAGGATTAAAGCATTTCTGTGTCAGTGCCCGCTAGACACACTCAAGTAAATGAGGTGAAATGAGGCTGAAGGAGACAGGAGAGCACCTGCAGTCAGAGTCCCTCCAGTCATCCCCTCCTCTGTCACTACTCGCTAACTGAAAAACATTCCCACCGCTGCCTGCCTTCCTATCCTGGCATGTCATTACAGAGCCCACAGCTGACAGAGGGACTCCGGACCGCTTATTAAGTGCACATCATTTGACATGTTCCATCTGCACTTTCAATGGTCCTGGCTCGGATTAGATCATAGCAGATGAAGCCCAGGGGGTATATTTATGCAGACCTGCTCAGTAGCGGACCAGAGGGAGGGACCCAGTGGTTTTAGAATAGGGGGAATTCCACTGGCATTACATAAGCAGGTGTGAGCAAAGCAAGGGATCCAGATGTACTAACGCAATTGTGTGCTGGATTAAAGACATTCCTGCATAGCTGGTAGATGTCTCGGACTGCATGACAGAACCTTTTGTCAATGCTCTGCCATTTTAACCGCTTCCTGCTTGTTCTGTCTGCTTCTAAATAGTCAGTGACTGGTCTCGAGGCCTCCAGATTCACACTCATGAAGCTGCCCCCTCCCCAACCTTCCCCGACAGGTTCTTAGCTCATCCTCTTTATCTGCCTTCAGAGAAAAGAGGTGACTGAATAGATGACGACAAGCTCCAAAGGTTCAAGAACAGCACGTAACCCTACACCTCTTCCGCCAAAAAACAATAGACCACACCTCCATCCTCGCTCCCGCTGTCTCTCTCTCTTACTCAACCACTCTTGTGACCATATAAGGCAAAAAAAGACAGGGGAAGCCAGCAGCTGCTGCTGAACAAGCGGGCTGAGAGGCAAAGTTTCTCCTAGTGACTCTGTCCCAATTTGCCCGCCTTTCCCAGAGCCTCAAACTGTTAATGTTTGCCGTGTGTTTGTTTGAAAAGAAGTTGCCTGTCACTGACCCAAATGCTTTTGCTTTGTGTGCATAAAGTGCATGCTTGTGTTTTGAAACTTGTGTGTGTGTGAGAGAGCGAGCGACGCTGTAACAACACCCAGATCTGGCAGGGCCTGAGAGCATTCTATGTTTATAGTAAATACATAGCTGTATTTATATCTGAAACACATGCTGCCCTCCACCTTGTTAGGTCTCCTTTCTTTTCCAGAAAAATGCCAACCCGAGACAGACAAAGCAACCACTTTTGCTGTTTATATCATCTTTTTCCCATGCAAGCATACACATGGCTTACAGTACCATATTGACTTAGTGTGCATTACAGATGTTGTCAAATCAGAACAGGTGATAAATGAGCAGAGAGACATCTTAACAAATTAGGGAAAGCTTTGTGCATTTTCCCTGTACGCCACATTCCTGTGTTTTGTAAGCCAGTATGTGTCTTATCACTCCTTCCTGTGTACGAATTACTAAGGTAAGGAGGAGGATGGAGGCGCTGGAAACTAGAGATTAAAGGACAGAAAACAGAATAAATAACCACTCACTCTGCTGTAATCTCATTATTGCATTAGCCTATCTCAAAAGCTCCAGGGGGTCTTAATTATTCTTTGTGATTCTGGTTGTTTAGGTACACACAAATAAACACTTTATCATGTCAAGAGGCTGTGTGAAGGGAACCAAGTTGCGTAAATAGTCTTGGCAGGGGTTTGTACATGACTGGGGAATGATGTTGAACAAAAAGGGTTGGCTGCTAGAATGAACGGCAATGTGTTTACACTGGGCTCACACTGGGCTTCGAGTGTGTGTGGTGAATTTTCTCTCAGTGTGTGTCAGGTAGGACGATTTGGGTCAGATTAAACAACCTATTGACTGTAAGGTCTGACACAGATCTGAGCTGTGGGATATATTTACATGTATATGTGTCATGAATGGGGCCACAGATACACACATTCTCACCAAGACACTCGAGCGTGAATGCACACACATAGGCCCAACACACACATGAATTCACGTGTGTAATTACACAGCAAGAGCGGCCAGTGAGTTAACATGCCACTCTTTTAACATGCTGTCATTGAATGGGTCCCTTTCTTTCTGACTGGATCATATAATGGCTTCACACACCCTGAATTACAGACACACCCTGCTGCTATTACAACCAACTGAAGGAGAAAGAGAGAGAGACTAGGTCACAGTGAAAAGGAGAGCGGGAGGCAGCGAGAGGGAGGGAGATGAGGTCAGTAGTGTCCATATTTGGTAATTCATGCCTGCGTTTTATCCTACATTTCTTTCTGTTTCCAGCTCTGTTTGTTTTGTGTCTTATGCAATTGCTGTGATGTTTGTACTTTTTCTGGAACAAGGTTTTCATTATATGGGAACTTCTTGTTATTTAGAAATTTGCTTTGAATTAAACTTTGTTTATCTTAATATTTTTTTCTATGTAAGAACTCCCCTTCATTCTCCTCTTCTAGGCCCCCTCTCCTCCCTCGGCATCTGGTCCTGCTCAAGTACTGGGTGACAGGATGACTTCTGACCTCTCGGCTGAAATTTCGGATATTTCCCATCCATCCCAGAGAGAGAGAGAGCGAGTGTGAGGTTTATTGAATTTTCCAAACAGACACGCTGAATGGTCAATGTTTTGCTCAACATACATGTGATGCCCAGCTGCCAAACGTAAAGGAAAACACACAGACGCATTCCTTTCATTATGACACACAGCGAACATAAATCACATGTTGAATAGAATGTGAAAATGTGATTTACCTATGTTTGTCAGTGGATGCCAGCCATGACTGAGCCGCTGTTATTATGTGACTTCTTGGGGTGAACCTCAATAAGAGTTGCCTCTGTGCGGTGTACTAAATTTGTAGTTGTGTAAATTGATTGCACTTTGTGTTGATGTCACCTGCAATATTTGCATCAGGTCTTGGTGTTTATCCCTGGACCTCAGAACAGCATCATCTGTTATCTGTATTCCTGCCTCTTTTCCGACATCACCCTCTATGTGTGGAAGAGAAGACAAAAGATAATGGGGTCAAGGGTTGGCTTGTCTGACTGGAATTACCTTTACAATTCCTCTAAACCAGTGGTTCTTCTTTTTCCAGAGGTACCCCTACAGCCCTGTCATATATGAACTCAAATACATGTCCATCAACAACACCTGTTATGTACCAAATGTGCTCATTTTAATTGATTTAAAACTGGACATTATTGAGCACTATTCATTATATAAGAGTGAATATTGTTACACTTTTTTTTTCATACAAAAGTTTAGGTTTGTTTGGTCAAGTTTGCATTTGCACTAGTGGAAAGAAAAGCTATGGATTTAAACTATGTATCTATTCATTTTAACTATTCAAGCTATCTGCAGGTAGTTTTATCCATTTAACCGTTGCTTTTAGCTAACAGTTTCAACATTTTATCCAATACTTTCAGATCACTATTTCAACAGTTTATTCATTAACACATGTGCTTTTAGCAGACTATTCAAACTGTTTATTTGTTAGCTAGCTAACTGTTTAGACTTCCCTTCAGCATGTGGTAACCTATTCAAGTGTCACAGGTGACTCAATATTTTTTTCATGAAATTATAATTTAAACTTTTATCTAATTTGTTGAGCTACTCCACAGTCTCCATGCAGGCTA